AAAAGTTTTGGAGTGAGATTAACAAGTTAAGGAAGCCTTGAGAACAAATGGATTTGTCAGTTAAAAATAGGAGAGGAGAGTTATTAAATGGAGAGTTGGAGGTATTGGGAAGATGGAGGGAATATTTTGAGGAATTGTTAAATGTTGATGAAGATGGGGAAGCTGTGATTTCTTGTATAGGGCAGGGAGGAATAACATCTTGCAGGAGTGAGGAGGAGCCTGTTGTGAGTGTGGAGGAAGTTCGTGAGGCAGTAGGTAAAATGAAAGGGGGTAAGGCAGCCGGGATTGATGGGATAAAGATAGAAATGTTAAAAGCAGGTGGGGATATAGTTTTGGAGTGGTTGGTGCAATTGTTTAATAAATGTATGGAAGAGGGTAAGGTACCTAGGGATTGGCAGAGAGCATGCATAGTTCCTTTGTATAAAGGCAAAGGGGATAAAAGAGAGTGCAAAAATTATAGGGGGATAAGTCTGTTGAGTATACCTGATAAAGTGTATGGTAGAGTTATTATTGAAAGAATTAAGAGTAAGATGGATAATAGGATAGCAGATGAACAAGGAGGCTTTAGGAAAGGTAGGGGGTGTGTGGACCAGGTGTTTACAGTGAAACATATAAGTGAACAGAAATTAGATAAGGCTAAAGAGGTCTTTGTGGCATTTATGGATTTGGAAAAGGCGTATGACAGGGTGGATAGGGGGGCAATGTGGCAGATGTTGCAGGTGTATGGTGTAGGAGATAGGTTACTGAAAGCAGTGAAGAGTTTTTACGAGGATAGTGAGGCTCAAGTTAGAGTGTGTAGGAAAGAGGGAAATTATTTCCCAGTAAAAGTAGGCCTTAGACAAGGATGTGTGATGTCACCGTGGTTGTTTAATATATTTATAGATGGGGTTGTAAGAGAAGTGAATGCGAGGGTCTTGGCAAGAGGCGTGGAGTTAAAAAATAAAGAATCACACACAAAGTGGGAGTTGTCACAGTTGCTCTTTGCTGTTGACACTGTGCTCTTGGGAGATTCTGAAGAGAAGTTGCAGAGATTGGTGGATGAATTTGGTAGGGTGTGCAAAAGAAGAAAATTAAAGGTGAATACAGGAAAGAGTAAGGTTATGAGGATAACAAAAAGATTAGGTGATGAAAGATTGGATATCAGATTGGAGGGAGAGAGTATGGAGGAGGTGAATGTATTCAGATATTTGGGAGTGTACGTGTCAGCGGATGGGTCTATGAAAGATGAAGTGAATCATAGAATTGATGAGGGGAAAAGGGTGAGTGGTGCACTTAGGAGTCTGTGGAGACAAAGAACTTTGTCCTTGGAGGCAAAGAGGGGAATGTATGAGAGTATAGTTTTACCAACGCTCTTATATGGGTGTGAAGCATGGGTGATGAATGTTGCAGCGAGGAGGAGGCTGGAGGCAGTGGAGATGTCATGTCTGAGGGCAATGTGTGGTGTGAATATAATGCAGAGAATTCATAGTTTGGAAGTTAGGAGGAGGTGCGGGATTACCAAAACTGTTGTCCAGAGGGCTGAGGAAGGGTTGTTGAGGTGGTTCGGACATGTAGAGAGAATGGAGCGAAACAGAATGACTTCAGAGTGTATCAGTCTGTAGTGGAAGGAAGGCGGGGTAGGGGTCGGCCTAGGAAAGGTTGGAGAGAGGGGGTAAAGGAGGTTTTGTGTGCGAGGGGCTTGGACTTCCAGCAGGCATACGTGAGCGTGTTTGATAGGAGTGAATGGAGACAAATGGTTTTTAATACTTGACGTGCTGTTGGAGTGTGAACAAAGTAACATTTATGAAGGGGTTCAGGGAAACCGGCAGGCCGGACTTGAGTCCTGGAGATGGGAAGTACAGTGCCTGCACTCTGAAGGAGGGGTGTAAATGTTGCAGTTTAAAAACTGTAGTGTAAAGCACCCTTCTGGCAAGACAGTGATGGAGTGAATGATGGTGAAAGTTTTTCTTTTTCGGGCCACCCTGCCTTGGTGGGAATCGGCCAGTGTGATAATAAAAAAAAAATACTCTGCTCTTCTTATAACCCTTCTGCTTAGTATAAACCTCTCATAAGCTAACTTTTTCTCTTTTATGACACCCTTTACTTCATCATTCCACCAATCACTCCTTTATCCTCATGCACCCACCCTCCTATAACCACAAACTTCTGCCCCACATTCTAATGCTGCATTTTTAAAACTATTCCAACCCTCTTCAAACCCCCTCCCCCTCACTACTCATACTTGCAGTAGCCCGCCTTTCTACCAATAGTTGCTTATATCTCACCCCAACTTCCTCCTCGCTAAGTTTATACACTTTCACCTCTCTCTTAATTGTTGTTTCCATTTTCCTTTTGTCCCATCTACCTCTTACTCTAACTGTAGCTACAACTAAATAATGATCCGATATATCGGTTGCCCCTCTATAAACACACACATCCTGAAGCCTACCCATCAACCTTTTATCTACCAATACATAATCATTACGTGCTATATCATACCTTGTATATTTATTTATCCTCTTTTTCATAAAATATGTATTACTTATTGCCAAACCTCTCTCTACACATAGCTCAATTAATGGTTCCCCATTTTCATTTACTCCTGGCACCCCAGATTTACCTACTTCTCCCTCCACAACATTTTTACCCACTTTAGCATCGAAATCCCCAACCACAAGTACTCTCACACTTGGTTCAAAACTCCTCATGCACTTGCTCAACATTTCCCAAAATCTCTCTTTCCTCGACACTTCTCACTTCTCCTGGTGCATATATGTTTACCATAACCCTCTTTTCACATCCAACCCTTATTTTACTCCACATAATCTTTGAATTAATACATTTATATTCCCTCTTTTCCTGCCATAATTTATCCTTCAACATTATTGCTACTCCTTCTTTAGCTCTGACTCTATTAGAAACCCCTGACCTAATCCCATTTATTTTTCCCCACTGAAACTCTCCCATCCCCTTCAGCTTTGTTTCACTTAAAGCCAGGACATCCAGCTTCTTCTCATTCATAACATCCACAATCATCTCTTTCTTATCATTTGCACAACATCCACGCACATTCAGACTTCCCACTTTGACAATTTTCTTATTATTATTCTTTTTAGTAATCTTTACAGGAAAAGGGGTTACTAGCCCATTGTTTCCGGCATTTTAGTTGACTTTTACAACACGCATGGCTTACGGAGGAAAGATTCTTATTCCACTTCCACATGGATATAAAAGGAAAAGTAATAAGACGAAGAACTATTATTAATATACATCTTACGAGCCACTGTTTTTGACGTATATATACAGTGGACCCCCGGTTAACGATATTTTTTCACTCCAGAAGTATGTTCAGGTGCCAGTACTGACCGAATTTGTTCCCATAAGAAATATTGTGAAGTAGATTAGTCCATTTCAGACCCCCAAACATACACGTACAAACGCACTTACATAAATACACTTACATAATTGGTCGCATTCGGAGGTAATCGTTATGCGGGGGTCCACTGTACTCATAAATTCTAGCGGCTTCAAATAAAGCAGGAGAAATCTGGTAGGCCCACATGTGAGAGAATAGGTCTGTGTGGTCAGTGTGCACCATATAAAAAAAATCCTGCAGCACGCAGTACATAATGAGAAAAAAAAAACTCCGACCATTTTTTTTAATTAAAATACCGACTTTGTGGTCTATTTTTTGTATAGTATTTATGGTTGTATTCTCGTTTTCTTGGTCTCATTTGATAGAATGTAAAACATATTATAGAAATAGAGGTGATTTTGATTGGTTTTACTATGAAGAGAACCTTGAAATGGAGCTCAAAGTAGGGGAAATGTTTAATTTTTGCCAATGTTCGAAAGTAAACAAATGATGTCATTTTCCAATAAATGTCCAAGTAGCCATTCTAATATGCAGTCATGAATGGGTTGACATTATTAATACAATTATTACAATATTGCAGTAGTCTGCATAACAGTAAATCTTCTATTTTTTGTTTGAATAAAAATTCAAAATAGAAAGCAAGAGTAATATCAGAGGGGCCTGGAGACATGACTGATGAACAGAGAAAATGTTATTTTAGAGCCGGAATGTCTGCATTTTTCATTCTGGACCCTATTTTGAAATTGTCATATTTTTTAATTTTCATGAAATTGGCCAAATTGCAAATTTCTGACCACATTATTGGGTAGTTGAAATCAGTAAATGAGCAGTTTCTTGTACTTAGTCGATAGAAAAAAATGGAGTTCTAAAGAAACAGCTATGAGTTTGGTCGACTGGAACAATGGAATTAGCCAAAAATAGAGCTGAAAGTGGGTGAAATTGCTGATTCGTAAATATCGCCGAGGTCGCTAACTTCACGAGAGCATAATTCCGTCAGTTTATCATCAAATTTCATTCTTTTGGTGTCATTACAATCGGGAAAAGATTCTCTATCATTTCATGAAATTTTTTTTTTTTCGACACCAGGAGACACCTCAGAATTTGGGGTTGCGATAGTCAAGGGGTTAAAACCAGGACATCCAGCTTCTTCCCATTCATAACATCCACAATCATCTCTTTCTTATCATTCACACAACATCCACAGCTAGTCCTCCACTAGTGCAAGTTCCACTTTCACGAGCTTCAAACATTCGCGAATGTCCAGCTGCCTAATTATATTTACCAAACAAATACAGGAAAAAAGTATGGGAAAACACTTCCAGCCATGTCTCTACTACCCTCCCTCTTACTGTGGAGTTAGCAAGGCTAGTTGGTGGTGAAGGGTTAGAGGGTTCTTGTTTCTGTTTATTTCTGCTTAACCCCATGGGGAAGTGGAACAGAATTCTTCCTACGTAAACCATGCGTTTCATAGGAGGCGACTAAAATGCCAGGAGCAAGGGGCTGGTAATCCCTTCTCCTGTATATATTACTAAATTTAAAAAGAGAAACTTTTGTTTTTCTTTTTGGGCCACCTTGCCTTGGGATATGGCTGGTTTGTTTAAAGAAAGAAGTATATACAGTATTTATATATTTCTTCTGTCAACAGGGGTTGAACCAGTCACATATGAGAAGAAAATAAAAGATTCTTGGATGTGGAAAGAGCTTTATGCTGCTCGCAATGTGCGTCCATCTTTTCACAGCCCTCTTGGTGTGTTTGGTGGCCTCCTCTACACTGGCCTCTTCTACATCTTAGGACGAGGAAAGGAACCTTGGACTTTGAAGCATGGAGGTCAGCTTTAACAGTATTTACCTTTAGAGGAATTCTCTAATAGGTTCTTGATATCGTATATTAATTTGCATGGAAGTCTTTAAAACTAGCAGGAGTATGATCATCAGAGAACGTGCTATTAGGCTACATTTTATGCCTACTGTTCTTCAGAGTAGGAGTAGTAACATCCTCCCATAGTTGTGCATTTTTAATAGTGAATTCTTTATATGTTACAACCACCCCACCTTTAAATATTATAAAGCTATCCAATACTCTGTTGCTGTGTTTTATCTCCAGGTATTTTACTACTTGATCCACTGGCTGGATCAGAGAGATGTATTTGGGTTGCATATACTGTAAGGACCTAAATTTTCAGTAAGTGGTTGAGAAAAACTTGAGAATCAGTGGTAGTATAATCTTATACTATTTAAGGAGATTTCTATCTTACAGTTCTGTCTTGCTACTTATACCATTTGGTGGTAAGGTCTTTAGTAATGCATATGTTTGATGTAAAGAAAAAAAAATATACCTGGAAAGTGCTTGAGAGCCTGGTCTCAAATCAGCACACTGCCATAACAGCATATTAGAGTGAGAGATATGGGAGGAAGTGCAAAATAAACCCAATGAAAAGCAGAGGTGCAGTGGGAACACTGTATCAACATTTGTGTCCCCAGATTATTCAACATCTTACCAGAAGATATCAGAAAGAGCACTATTTGTGGATTGAGGTTCATTTAGTTTGTGCTTCAGTAACAGTAAAGAGGTTAGCATATAAATGTCATCATATAATTTATTTTTGTGAGAACTATATAGATTTAAGATGTTTTAAATCTTCTGTTTCAGGTAGAGATGCAGACAGACTTAAGCCAGCAAGTCAGTGCAAACCAATTGCTTACCCTAAACCCGATGGAGAAATTAGTTTTGACCTTTTGAGTTCGGTTGCACTGACTGGCACAAACCACGAACATGATCAGCCACCTCATCTTACTCTTAAGGATGACTCTGTCCCTGTGGAAAAGAATTATGCAGTGTTTAATGGACCAGAAGGGCATTTTTGTCCTGCAGGTTAGCAGTGAATTCTTTGTATGTTTAGTTTGAACAAGGAAAGAGTGCTGCATGTGGGTGCATTTAAATTCAGTTATTATCAGGAGGAAAGGGAAGGAAGAGGTTTCATGTTTAGTATGAATTGAGGGAGAAGGGAGAGATGATGAAGTAAAACATAAGAAAGAAGCAACACTGCAGCAGGCCTGCTGGCCCACGATATCTCCACTGCCTCCAGTCTTCTCCTTGTTGCAAGATTCATCACCCATATAAGAGTGTTGGTATAACTATACTCTCATATATTTCCCTCTTTGTTTCCATGGACAGAATTCTTTGTCTCCACAGACTCCTCAGTGCACCACTCACCTTTTTTTTTCTTGTCAGTTCTGTGATTCATCTCATCTTTCATAGACCCATCTGCTGACACGTCCACTCCTAAATATCTGAATACATTCACCTCCTCCATACTCTCTTCCTCCAACCTGATATCCAGTCTTTCATTTCCTAATTTTTTTGTTATCCTCATCACCTTACTCTTATCTACATTCGCTTTAAATTTTCTCTTTTACATACCCTACGAAGCTCATCCACCAGCCTCTGCAACTTCTCTTCTTCTCTTCAGAATCTCCCAAAAAACAAAGTGTCATCAGCAAAGAGCAACCTCACACCTCTTGCCAACACCCGAGCATTCAATTCTCTTAAACCCCATCTATAAATATATTGAACAACCATGGTGACATCATACATCCTTGTCTAAGGCTTACTTTTACTGGGAAATAATCTTCCTCTCTCCTACATACTCTAACCTGAGCTTCATTATCCTCAAAAAATTTTCACTGCTTTCAATAACCTACTTCCTATTCCATATATTTACAATATCTACCACATTTCCACCCTGTCATACGTCTTTTCCAAATCCATAAATGCCACAAAAACCTCTTTACCCTTATCTAGATATTGTTCACCTATATATTTCACTGTAAACGCTTGGTCTACACACCCTCTACCCTTTCTAAAGCCTTCTTGTTCATCTCCTATCCTACTCTCCGTCTTACTCTTCTCTCAATAATAACTCTCCCATACACTTTACCAGGTATACTCAACAGACTTCTTTCAACAAACCAGCCGTATCCCACTGAGGTAGGGTGGCCCAAAAAGAAAAACAAAAGCTTCTCTTTTTAAATTTAGTATTTTATACAGGAGAAGGGGTTACTAGCCCCTTGCTCCCGGCATTTTAGTTGCCTATTATGACATGCGTGGCTTACGGAGGAAGAATTCTGTTCCACTTCCCCATGGAGACTCAACAGACTTTTTTTTTTTTTTTTTTTTTTTAACAAGTCGGCCGTCTCCCACCGAGGCAGGGTGACCCAAAAAAGAAAGAAAATCCCCAAAAAGAAAATACTTTCATCATCATTCAGCACTTTCACCACACTCACACATTATCACTGCTTTTGCAGAGGCGCTCAGAATACAACAGTTTAGAAGCATGTACATATAAAGATACACAACATATCCCTCCAAACTGCCAACATCCCAAACCCCTCCTTTAAAGTGCAGGCATTGTACTTCCCATTTCCAGGACTCAAGTCCGACTATATGAAAATAACCGTTCCCCTGAATCCCTAAACTAATATTCCCCTGCTCACACTCCAACAGATCGTCAGGTCCCGAGTATCATTCGTCTCCATTCACTCCTATCTAAACACGCTCATGCCGCTTGCTGGAAGTCCAAGCCCCTCGCCCACAAAACCTCCTTTACCCCCTCTTTCCAACCCTTTCGAGGACAACCCCTACCCCTCTTTCCTTCCCCTATAGATTTATATGTTTTTCCATGTCATTCTACTTGATCCATTCTCTCTAAATAACCAAACCACCTCAACAACCCCCCTTCTGCCCTCTACTAATGCTTTTATTAACTTCACACCTTCTCCTAATTTCCACACTCCGAATTTTCTGCATAATATTTACACCACACATTGCCTTAGACAGGAATCTCCACTGCCTCCAACCATTCCTCGCTGCTGCATTTACCACCCAAGCTTCACATCCATATAAGAGTGTTGGTACCACTATACTTTCATACATTCCCTTCTTTGCCTCCATAGATACGTTTTTTTTTCTCCACATATACCTCAAACGCACCATTTCACCTTTTTTCCCTCATCATTCTATGTTTAAACCCTCATCCTTCATAAATCCATCCGCCGACACGTCAAACCCAAGTATCTGAAAACATTCACTTCTTCCATACTCCCTTCCCCAATTTGATATCCAATTTTTTCTTTATCTAAATCATTTGATACCCTCATCACCTTACTCTTTTCTTGTTCACTTTTAACTTTCTACATTTACACACATTCTCAAACTCATCCACTAACCTTGGCAATTTTTCTTTAGAATCTCCCATAAGCACAGTATCATCAGCAAAAAGTAACTGTGTCAATTCCCATTTTGAATTTGATTCCCCATAATTTAATCCCACCCCTCTCCCGAACACCCTAGCATTTACTTCTTTTACAACCCCATCTATAAATATATTAAACAACCATGGTGACATTACACATCCCTGTTTAAGACCTACTTTTACCAGGAAGTATTCACACCCTAACCTGAGCCTCACTATCCTCATAAAAGCTCTTTACAGCATTTAGTAACTTACCACCTATTCCATATACTTGCAGCATCTGCCACATTGCTCCTCTATCCACTCTATCATATGCCTTTTCTAAATCCATAAATGCAATAAAAACTTCCCTACCTTTATCTAAATACTTATTCCCCTATATTTTTTGCATTCTCTTTTGTCCCTTTTGCCTTTATACAAAGGAACTATGCATGCTCTCTGCCAGTCCCTAGGTACCTTACCCTCTTCCATACATTTATTAAATAAAAGCACCAACCGCTCGCTCGTACGTTGGATTGCGTGCAGCCAGCAGTAACAGCCTGGTTGATCAGGCTCTGATCCACCAGGAAGCCTGGTCACAGACCGGGCCGAGGGGGCGTTGACCCTCGGAACTCTCTCCAAGTAAACTCCAGTATTTAGATAGAGGTAGAGATGTTTTCATTGCATATGTGATAGAGTGGATAGGGGAGCAGTGTGGCAAATGTTGCAAGTGTATGGAATAGGTAGTAAGTTGCTAAATGCTGTAAAAAGTTTTTATGAGGATAGTAAGGCTCAGCTTAGGGTTTCTCGGAGAGAGGGAGATTACCTCCCAGTAAAAGTTGATCTTAGACAGGTATGTGTCATGTCACCATGGTTGTTTAACATATTTATAGATGGGGTTGTAAAAGAAGTAAATGCTAGGGTGTTGGGTAACAGTAGAAAGTTGAAGGTGAATGTAGATAAGAGGAAGGTGATGAGGGTATCAAACAATTTAGATAAAGAAAAATTGGATATCGTATTGGAGGGAGGGAGTATGGAAGAAGTCAATGTTTTCAGATATTTGGGAGTTGACTAGTCAGCAGATGAGGTAAACCATAGAATTGATGAAGGAAAAAAGGTGAGTGGTGCATTGAGGAATCTTTGGAGACAAAGAACATTATCCATGGAGGCAAAGAAGGGATTGTATGAGAGTATAGTGGTACCAACACTCTTATACGGGTGTGAAGCATAGATTGTAAATGCTGCAGTGAGGAGGCAGCTGGAGGCAGTGGAGATGTCCTGTCTAGGACAATGTGTGGTGTAAATATTATGCAGAGAATTCGTAGTGTGGAAATTAGGAGGGGATGTGGAGTTAATAAAAGTATTAGCCACAAGGCTGAAGGGGGGCTGTTAAGGTGGTTTGGTCAGTTTGATAGAATGGAACAAAGTAGAATGACTTTGAGAGCGTATAAATATGTTGGGAAGGAAGGCGGGGTAGGGGTCTTCCCCGAAAAGGTTGGAGGGAGGGGGGTAAATGAGGTTTTGTGGGCGAGGGGCTTGGACTTGCAAGCGTGCGTGAGTGTGTTAAGAATGAATGGAGACAAGCGCCTCTGCAAAGACAGTTATTATGTATGAGTGATGGTGAAAGTGTTGAATGATGAAAGTTTTTTTTTTTGGGGGGGGGGGTGGATACCCTGTCTTGGTGGGAGGTGGCTGACATTTTAAAAAGAGGGGGGGGGGCTATATTAACTTCCACCCTTGCTTCATTGCCCCTCTCCTCCCTTTCCCCTCCCCTCTCAACCTTTACCTGCCTGCCCTCCTTTCTCATCTTCACCCTTTTATCCCCTTCCCCTCTCACCACCAACCCTCCCCCATTCTCCACCAATCCATCCTCCATTCTCACTAAACCAATCCTCCATCTCTTTCCAAACTAATCTTTCCCCTCTTTATAAATTAATCATCTCCCCTGTAAACCAATCATCCCCTGTCCACCAATCATCCCCATCTCCACTAATCCTCCCATTCCCCCTGCCCCTCTCAGCTTCAAATTCTCAATGCTGATGTACTGTAACTGGTGAAAGGTCAGGCAATTATTGGCATTTGCAGGTGCTGTATGATCAGTTTTGTTTAAACCATTTCCAATTATGATTTCCTTACTGATGATGAGAAAGAGGTGATTGTCAGTGCTATGAATGAAAAGCTGGATGTCCTGGCTTGAAACAAAAAGCTGAAGGGGGTAGGAGATTTTCATTGGGGAGAAATAAATGGGATATGGTCTGGTGTATCTGAGAGAATTAGAACTATGGAAGAAGTAGCAGTAATATTGAAGGATCAGTTAAAGCAGGAAAAGAGGGAATATAAATGTATAAATTCAGTACATTAAATTAAAAAGAGTAAATTTTGTTTTTCTTTTTTGGGCCACCCAACCTTGGTGGGATACAACTGGTTTGTTGAAAGAAGATATATATGTTTATTACTCTACAGGTGTGTATGAGTATGTGCCACTGGAAGCTGGTGATGGTGTGAGACTTCAGATAAATGCTCAGAACTGCATCCATTGCAAGACATGTGACATAAAGTGCCCATCTCAGAATATTAATTGGGTAGTGCCAGAGGCAGGTGGTGGACCTGCATATGATGGCATGTGAAGAGATCCTCCTGTGTGCTAATTTATCAGGGCTTTTTTTTTTTTATGGTACAGCCTCTCCTTACTTAGTGACATACTTATTTACCGACAACTTGGACTTACGACGGGCTTTTTGACCAGTATGCATACCTAAATAATGTATATTAGGGCTGATTTCCTCTATTCTCTTTATTACAAGATATAGTACACTACTGTATAAACATTTAAAAATATACCATGGTGCAAAGATGACATTAAAACAATATTAAAGATGGTTGACACAAACTCACTACCATTATAGTGTGCTCCTCAATGACGAATTTGTTTACTGACGTGGTCTTAGGAACGGAACTCTGTCGTTAAGTGAGGAGAGGCCGTATTTCTGCTTTTCTGTATATATGATAAAAAAAAAAAAAAAAGCTTTGCTGTCAGATATTTCTTTATCTTGATATTGTTGCTAAATTCATAGATAGATCTAAACATTTTATTGGCATTCAATCAACAGTATCAGCATCTTGCTCCACCTCTTTTTCTTATCCACTCCTACTGTATTTCCATGGATCTTGCTTTCAAACTGGGGTTTTATTCACAAAACATACAGTAGTCTTTTCACATATGCTGTGTCTTGCTAAACCTAGTGTGTATCATTATGCTATTAAGGCTTTCTATTTGAAAGCCATTCCATTTTAACAAACCATTAACTTGTATTTTTCCCAAAACCTTATTTCCTCGATCTCAAGAGGCATCTGTGGAGTTACTGTCTGGACACTAGCTGTAACTCTGTTTCAAATGGCTGAGCATTATTGCATAGGCAAATTGCATTCTCTATAGTTTCTTATTAATATGTACACTAGCTACATTCTTGAAAACCACCCTGCTATGAAATTGTATTACCGCATATGCTACTGTGCAGATCTTTATATTCCCCAGCTTATGTTTTGCAATTCTGCCTTCACAATCATGTATATGGTAGAGTATTACTGATGTAAGGTTACTTTGTCATGGTGAAAGGTTGTGCTTTTTCTGTGGTTATTGGTTTTAGCTGTTGCTTGCCTGTCTGCCTACTCCACAGAATTAGTCTTCGTGAATTGCTGTGTTCTTGCCACAATATACTCTTACTACTTTTCTCAGATGGGTTTATGTACATTGGTTTCATTTCATTTCCTACTCATTCACTAATATTGCTGTAATTTTTTTGAAATGTCACCAAGTCTTAATTTTTTCCATTATACATCTTAAGCTCTAAAGCTATTAAATAATTTTTTTTTTCCAACCCTACAGTAGTCTTTCTATGCTTGTGCTGATGAGTCTGCTTCTGTTATACTCAGTAATATATATTTTTTTAAATATTTAGATCTTTGTATTAAAATATTGATGTACCTCAAAATTGTAAAATGTTTACCTCTTCAAGAGGGGCTCCTTGTTGTGGTGAAGAGGCTCTTGGTCTGAGGAATTAGACCTGTCGGTCTCCTTCCTCAGACCGAACCTAATTACTCGCCAATCCCCCCTTCCCAATCCCATCCTCCCCACCCCTCCCTTTTGCCCTTCGGGATTTTTTTCCCACAAGCACGCTAGTTCCTAGGTAGGGGAAAGGGTACCGGGGTCCATCCCATTCCGTTGAGGTTCTTGGCGGTGGCGTAGTTTGCTGTGGAATCTGGATTGCCTGGGGATGTCCTGATCCCTCTCCGGTATCCCGGAGGGTGGCTTTGGGTGTCTCGGGCGACGGGTGCATCTCTGGAAGCCACCTTTCAGATTCCGGGGGTGGTGGCCGAAGGAGGTATGCTTTGTGGCGGATATCCGGCCGCCCTCTCTTTTGTCCACCGAGGTAGCTTGGCAGATGTGAGGTTGCTATCCTGGATTGCTGGTTTACTGGCATGATGGGTAGGGTATGGCATGGGTTCCATGCTGCATCTGCGCTACTTGCGGTGCTGAGGTCCTCTTGGCGCGGAGGGAGATTTCTGGCCCTTTCATTCCTCCTAGGAACTATCCCTCCCTGGTCCCCCCTTTTTTTATTCTTTTTTTTTATTTTTTATTTTATTTTCTTTTTGTTTTTCTTAAAAACAAAAAGAAAGAAGTAACCTAACCATGGCAGCCCTAGTCCATGAACCTGCTACCCCCGGGCCCCTTCTTGATACCGCACCCCTTTCTGACCCCGCCTCGTCTTTGGACCACTCTTCGGACACTCCTCATGCCTCTGTACCTCTTGCCGGTGCTGTTTCCTCACCCACTTCAGGTACTGAGGTCTCGACTGACTCCTTCGATTTATCTGACCTCCGCTCTCCTTTGACTATGTTTCCAGCCTCTCCCTCTACGGTGCGGCAGTTTTCGAATCGCTGGCCAGTTCCACGTCAGACCAACTCTGGTCCCACGCCTAAACGCCAACGACAATTACCTGCTGTTGATACTTCTCCACCTTCTCGTTCTTCTCAGAAAAGATCGACACGTCCTGCACTCCCTTTCCACGCTCAGTTTCAGAATGCACAATGGACTAAATTCTTCACTTTACGACTGACTTCCTCTACTGCCTATCTTTCCGACCACAGTATTGGCAAGGCACTCCTACACCATGTTGGTAAAGATATTTCTTTTCATGCTCTTGAGAGCGGTATGCGCATCATCACTGTACAGAATGCTACCCAAGTTCATAATCTTTCTCTTCTTTCCCATATCAATACTGTTCCTGTCACTGTTGAAAAACATCATTCCCTCAATTCTTGTAGTGGTACCGTCATTCTGCCCCATACCATAGTTCAACAAAATTTCCAGACGTGGCAATGACATTCTTGAACAGCTGGAACTCCAAGATCTCCCAATCCTCAAGGTAGACACTTATGTTCTTCCTGCCCACGGGCGGAGACGATACCCTAGCAATGTGGCTCTAACTTTTGACAGCCATGAACTCCATCCTCAGTTTATGCAGCAGGACATCGGTTACAAGTTCGAAAGGTGATCCCTACACTGCAACAGTGTAGAAGTTGCTGGCGATTTGGCCATCCAGCGAAATATTGCAGATCTATAGCCGAATGCCCAGTCTGTGGTGCCGATGACCATTCTAATACGTCTTGCAATCGACCTCCCTCTTGCCTTAATTGTCATGAGGCTCGCCCTTCGTACTCTCGCCGTTGCCAAGTCTACTTAAATGAGCGGGAAATCCGTTACCTCAGAGGCGGAAGGTCTCCCTTATGCCATGGCAGTTTCTCATCTCCCCCCCCCCCTCCTCATTTTACCTTCCCTGTCTCTGTACCTGGTTCTTCCCCTCTCACTGGCTCTGTTACAAGTGTAGAGGTTCATCCTCCTCCTCGTACTGTACCTTCCTCCCCTGTTCCCTCCCAAGTTTCTTCCTCTTCTGCCACCTCCCAGGTTTCTGCCTCTTCTGTCCCGTTCCATGCTTCTTCTCCAGTTCCCTCCACCCTTTTGCCCCCCCTACCTTGGTACAGTTCCAATCTTTACTCATCCTCCCCCTACCATCTCCAATATTGTCTTCCATACGACGTCTCTGAATTCCGAAACACTTGAAGCAATCTCTGAATATATTGCAGAGACCAAACCATCAATGGACACTGATCCACCCTCTGTTCCTTCTCTCTCCTCTCCTCCATCTGCACAACTCCTTTCTTCACAGCGCACCGTTCCTTCGCTGCTTGAAAGTTTTCCGCTGCCTCCGCATGTGGACTTTTCTAACCCTGCGGATTTCAGGTATCTTTATCATTGCCAATCATGGCCTATTTACAGTGGAATATACGCGGCCTCGGGAGTAATCGGGGTGAGCTTCAGATGTTACTCTCCCAGTTTTCCCCTGTTGGTGTTTGCTTACAGGAACCAAAATTACACTCTGCTGTTATCCCTCCCATCTCAGGCTATAATTTATTGTATTCTTCAGATCCTTTTCCTGATGGGACCTTTAACCCTTTGAGGGTTTCGGACGTACTAGTACGGCTTACGACCCAGGGTTTTTGACGTACTAGTACGCCTAAATCTAGTGGGAGAAAGCTGGTAGGCCTTCATATGAAAGAATGGGTCTATGTGGTCAGTGTGCACAGTCTAAAAAAAAATCCTGCAGCACACAGTGCATAATGAGAAATAAAAAACTTTGACCGTTTTTTGGGAATAAAACAGCGACTTTACACTGTATTTTCGTATGGTATTTATTGTTGTATTCTAGTTTTCTTGGTCTCATTTTATAGAATGGAAGACATATTACACAAATTGAGATGATTTTGACTGGTTTTACAATGAAAGATACCTTGAAATTGAGCTCAAATTAGCAGAAATGTTCGATTTTTACCAAATTTCAAAAGTAAACAAATCGTGCCAATGGTCCAATACACGTCAACTGGTGAGTCTGAATATTCTTTCACTAGTGTGCCAATAATATTTATACCATTTTTTACACTAATGCAGTAGTCTGCATAACAGTAAATCTTATATTTTTTGTGAGAATAAAAATTCAAAGTGGAAAGCAAAAGAATATAAGAGGGGCCTCGAGACGTGACTAATGACCAGAGGAAATGTCATTTTAGTGCCAGGAATGTCTTTCTTGTTTATTCTGGACCCTATTCGGAAATTGGCATCTTTTGAAATTTGTATGAAATAGGCAAAATTGCTAAATTCTGACCACTGTACTGGATAGTTGAATTTCATAAATGGGTGGTTTCTTGCACCCATTCGATAGAAAAAATGGAGTTCTAGCGAAATATTCATGTTTTTTGTCGACTAGTATAGTGGAATTGGCCGAAAATGGGGCTCAAAGTGGGCAAAATCGCCGATGCGTAAATATCCCCGAGACCGCTAACTTCGCGATAGCATAATTCCGTAAGTTTTCCATCAAATTTCAAACTTTTGGTGTCCTTATGATTGGGAAAAGATTCTCTATCTTTTCATAAGAGAATTTTTTTTTTTTTTAAATTTGGCCGACCCTGAGAACGAGTTTCGGAGAGGGCCTGTCGACCCTCAAAGGGTTAATGAAAGTGCCCTTCTTCTACGCACTGATATTCCGTACCATCAGCTATTTGTTCGTACTTCGCT